ACCATGGAGGAGTCCCTTGCGATCCTCATGCACGGGCAGCACCAACTCACCACACTGCTCAATAGCATGCAGCGCCGGATGGGGGAGATGTCGCTCCGGCTCTCGTCCGTCGAAGGCGTCGCGGCACCGTTCGTGGGTCTTCCCTACTCTGCACCACAGGCCCTGCCCTATGGCATGCCGGGGTATGGGGGCATCCCGGCACTGCCGGCGTCCGGGCCGGTCATCTCGGAGATCATGCCCACGCCCTCCCTTCCGGCATCGGCGGCGACAGCAGCAGGTTCTTCGTCATCACAGCCGGCCGCAGACTCGGCCGCACATTCATCCCTCGGCTCCACCCCGCCACCTCCGTTGACTGGGCTGCCGATCCAGAGCATCCCCTTCCCGCACTCGCCCTCCCCGCTGCCTACATTTTCATCTATCATGGGGACCGCAGTCACGACGTCTTCAATGGTGGTGCACCATGAACGCACCCACCGATCCCAGTCGCTGCCCCACCTGGACTATCACAATGAAGGCTATGGCGTTCCCAAGTTCCACAAGCTCTCGTTCCCGCTCTATGACGGCAAAGAGGACCCCCTAGGCTGGCTCAACCGGTGTGAATCCTTTTTTCATGGCCAGCTCACCAGGGAGGTCGACAAGGTTTGGTTGGCCTCGTTCCACATGATCGGGGATGCTCAACAGTGGTATTACATCCTCGAGCGCGACACGGGACGACCATCGTGGGCCAACCTTAGGCTTCTATGCCACCAGCGCTTCGGTCCGGCTTTGTCGACCAACCATCTGGCCGACCTCACCCGACTACCGTTTACGTCCACGGTGGACGCCTACATGTCGGCGTTCCAGGCCCGCCTGGCACACGCAAGTCGATTAGATCTACTCCAGCAGGCCCAGCTCTTCACCGGTGGACTACCAGAACACATCCGGGTGGATGTGGAACTCCATGAGCCTGTAGATCTTCACCGTGCAATGTGGTTGGCCCGGGCCTTTGAGCGCTGAAACGCCGCCAAGGCACCTGCGCTACCAGCCGCGCCTCAGCGTCCTTCGCGCCGCACCTCACCAGGACAGATTGGGAGCTCATCATCATCGTCCACGCCTACCGGCCAGTCTTCAAGCCGCCCCTTCCGTTACTTGACGCCCACGGAGATGGCAGAACGCCGGAAACAGGGCTTGTGTTATAACTGTGACGAACCATACGTCCAAGGGCACAAGTGTGCTCGCCTATTCTACCTGGAGGCCGCTGACTACATTGTGGAGGAGCCTGATTCGGATTCTGAGGACGAGGAGCCTAACGCCGCCGCTGCACCAGCACAGCCCACCATCTCCTTGGCGGCTATCGCGGGCATTCCAACTGCCACCACAATGCAGGTCTACATGCAAGTCGGTGGTGAGCAGTGCATAGCGTGGGTGGACTTAGGATCCACCCATAATTTCATCAGTAGCGCGGTGGCGCGCCGGGCCGGTATCCGCTTCCAGCCGTGCCCGGGCGCGGGCGTCACAGTTGCGAATGGAGACCGCTTGGACTGCCGTGGTATGGCCCGGGACGTGGGCATTCGCATCGCGGACGAGGCATTCGCCGTGGATTGCTACACGATTCCGCTCGACAGATGGGACATGGTCCTTGGAATCACCTTCTTGCGGACATTGGGACCGGTCTTATGGGATTTTGATGACTTGTGCATGGCATTCACCCGTGGAGGGCACCGTGTTTTCTGGCGGGGCATTGGTTCGCCAAGGTATGACGTCCAGTCCACTCAACTCTACGCTATGGACGCTGCCAAGCCGCTTCTGGACACCTTGCTGGCCTCCTACGAGGATGTCTTTGCTGCACCACAAGGACTGCCACCGGCGCGACCGTGTGATCACCGAATACATTTGCTGCCTACCACGGCTCTGGTAGCAGTGCGCCCCTACAGGTACCCGCAGCTACAGAAGGACAAATTGGAGGCTCAATGTGCAGCCATGTTGCAACAGGGCGTCATCCGGGCCAGCACGTCGGCGTTCTCGGCTCCGGTACTCTTGGTGAAGAAGCATGATGGGTCATGGCGGTTCTGTGTTGATTACCGTGCACTCAACCAACAGACAGTCAAGGATAAATTTCCCATCCCTATGGTCGAGGAGCTGCTCGATGAACTCAAGGGCTCTCGCTATTTCACGAAGCTCGATCTCCGCTCGGGGTATCACCAAGTGCGTATGCACGTCGATGACATTGAGAAGACAGCGTTCCGCACTCATGAGGGCCACTTCGAGTTTCTGGTTATGCCTTTCGGCTTGACAAACGCACCGGCCACCTTTTAGAGCTTGATGAACTCAGTCCTTCAGTCGTTCCTCCGCAAGTTTGTACTCGTGTTCTTTGATGATATACTTATATACAGCCCCAATTGGTCCTCGCACCTGCAGCATCTCAATGCAGTCCTCTGAGCGCTTCGGGCTAATCAACTCCGGCTTAAGCTTTCTAAGTGCTCCTTCGCTCAACCGACGGTGGCCTATCTCGGCCATGTCATCTCAACAGCCGGAGTCACCATGGATCAAGACAAGGTGGCGGCCGTCACATCCTGGCCACAGCCTCGCGCACCTCACGGCCTACGCGGGTTCCTAGGGTTAGCAGGTTATTACCGCCGTTTCATCCAAGGGTACGCCGCCGTGGCTGCTCCTCTCACCAAGCTGCTGAAGAACGATGGGTTCACATGGACTGAGGAGGCTACTGCTGCTTTCGTCGCCCTCAAGCAGGCGCTATCGCCGGCGCCCGTTCTGCAGTTACCGGCATTTGATCAACCGTTCTTGGTGGATTGCGATGCCTCGGGCTCCGGGTTTGGCGCGGTCCTACATCAAGGAAATGGCGCGCTCGCGTTTTTCAGCCGGCCCTTCGCCGCACGGCACATGAAGCTTGCCTCTTATGAGCGGGAACTCATCGGCTTGGTCTAAGCCGTGCGTCACTGGCGCCCATATCTGTGGGGGCGCCACTTCACCGTCCGCACCGACCACTTCGCCCTTAAGTTTTTGCTCGATCAACGGCTGTCCACGGTGCCGCAACATCAGTGGGTAAGCAAGCTTTTCGGTTTTGATTTCACCGTGGAGTACAGGCCGGGGCGCCTCAACACTGTCGCCGACGCGCTATCCCGTCGCGGTGACGGTGGCCGCCCGTGACGCCCGACGCAGTTCTGGGCGCGCTCAGTGGTCCGTCGTTTCAGCTCTACGACGTGCTCCGACAAGAGCTCCAGGACGACCCCAACCTCCGTGCGTTCATGACACGGTGGTCGGCCGACCGCGCGATCCCGTGGTGACTGGTGGACGGCTTGGTGCTCCGGGGCACCCAAGTCTTTGTGCCTGCGACGTCCCCATTAGTACCTACGGTGATCGAGCTCTCCCACTCGGTTGGGCATGAAGGCATACAAAAAAAGACCTGCGGCGCCTCGTCAACACTTCCTCATCGACCGGGATCGCCAATACCGGTGGAGGACTTTGTGCGTGCTCGTCTTGTGTGCCAAAGAACAAAAAATGAGTCCCTCCACCCCGCCAGACTGTTGCAACCATTAGAGGTACCCTCTTCGGTTTGGTCGGACATTGCTATGGATTTCGTGGAGGGGCTGCCTCGCGTCCATGGAAAGAGCATGGTTCTCACAGTGGTGGACCGTTTCTCGAAGCATGCGCACTTCATTGCGCTTCGACCACCCGCACATCTGCAAAGACATCGGTTGCCAAGGCGTTCTTCAAGGCCATCGTTCGGCTACATGGGTTCCCTCGCTCGATCGTGAGTGATCGGGACCCGGTCTTCACGGGCAATGTGTGGAAAGACCTCTTCAAGCGCGGCGGGGTGCAGCTTCGCATGAGCACAACATTTCATCCACAAACCGACGGCCAATCGGAGATTGTCAACAAGACCATAGCTATGTATTTACGTTGCATTACAGGAGATCGGCCTCGTGCGTGGTTGGAGTGGCTTCCTTGGGCAGAGTATTGTTACAATACGTCCTATCATTCGGCGCTCAAGACGACGCCTTTTGAAGTGGTTTTCGGCCGGCCTCCACATGCTCTACTGCCATACACAGAAGGCTCGGCCTCGACAGAGACAGTGGACACTCTTCTTCGGGATCGGGACTCGTTTTTGCAGGATGTGCGTGAACGCCTCCTACAGGCTCAGGCGTATGCTAAGCGTCACTATGATGGTCATCATCGCGCCGTGGAGTTTGCCGTGGGCGATTGGGTGCTCCTCCGGCTGCTCCACCGCCCTGCACAGTCCCTGGTGCCGGGCAAGCGTTCCAAGCTGAGCCCACGTTTCGCTGGACCGTACCAAGTCCTGGAGCGGATTGGTGCCGTGGCCTATCGTCTTCAGCTGCCTGATGGTGCCAGGATCCATGATGTTTTCCACGTCGGCGTCCTCAAGCCGTGGCGTGGAACGCCACCAACGATCCTGCCGGCACTGCCTCCACTTCGTCACGGTCGTCTGCTGCTGAAACCTGAGCGCGCTCTCAAGGCACAGCTGCGTCGCGGCACTGGGCTGGTCCTCATCAAATGGACCGGCCTGGATGAGTCTGAAGCCACCTGGGAACCGGTCGATGATTTCAAGACTCGCTTTCCTGACTTCCAGCTTGAGGACGAGCTGTTTGTCGGGGAGGGGAGAGATGTTATGGTGGGCAAGGTGTACCATCGGCAGGATAAGTCAGGCGACAAGGCAAGTGGCTAAGGCCACGCCAAGGAGCCAGCTGGGCTAAGTTGTTAGCATACCTAGAGTCAGTTAGTTTATTCCCTAAAGATTAGGAAGTTGGTTATTGAGTCTTGTGTAAGTTAAACAGTTTGCTTCTAATATGATTCAGCCTGGGATTGAGACTTACGTCTCCCTTGGGCACCTGGCCCCTTACTTCCTATTCACCGTCATCTTGTTGTCGCTAGCCGCAACCCTAGGCGCCGAGCACGGCACCGCCCGTTCATCGTCGCGTGTTCAAGCCCAGGCCCCCCAGTCCATCACCAGTACAACCTCAGGAGCGCTATCTCTAACAGCTTACCACATGGCAATGAGCCTGGTGACCAATTTCTTTTAGCAGCAAGAATTTTTACACCAAATGGTTTCAGCCTCTTGGCAATTTCCACACCAATGGCCCCAAATCCTAGGATAAGGACCTAGACAATAATCACAAACGCAATTATTTACACAGATGGGATCATTCCCATGGAAAGTAGATCAAACAAGCAATTTCCACAAATAGGCCCAAGAGCATACTGTTTTGCCTAATATTGTTTCTCCTGTTGGACTTCCCAGGTCCTTCTGATGCACAGCAGCATCCATCAACTTCTGCAAAGTAATGCCCAAAGTCCACAACATGAGTGGCTCATTATATATGAAAGAAGCTAATTTTAATTAATAGAACAAAAGCAAGTAAATAAATGTTCTTATTCTCTTAAAAACACTTAAAACAGAAACTAAATTTAATGCCCTATCAAGCTTGTACACAAGAATTTTGCTGCTTCCATGAAAATGCATTAAAGCATTCAGTTTTGACAAATTTCATATTATCTTCCGAACTAGAAATAACAAAACAGATGAACACTATAAATTTCCATGTTTCCCCTTGGCATACATGTTTACCTATCAAAACATAAAAGTGGAGACCCAAAACCAAAGCATGTAGAAAAACTACTTTTGTCATTGTTATTCTCGTAGGATACTATAGACTTTGAGTGCATATGTTAAATCAATGAGACTGCAATAGTGAACAAAAATTCCTGCTTGCTTAAGATACATCTATAATCATTCGTGGACTATTGTTGAATGCACATGATGGGATTAGTCCTGATAATTTGCTTAGTATTGATACTGTAACTTCATCCTTGCTCTAGATAGTGAGGAAAAAGAAGCCATGAACCATCATTGAAAAGAATCATCACAAAACATGAAAAAAGTGAAGAGCAAATCCAATTTCCAACTTGTCAAAATTCAGAACTACTATCCATAAAAATATACTTGCTTCCGCAGAACACCAAGGGTAAGATATATTGCCATCTCTGCACAAGAGACTGCATTTCCTGTCATACTCCCCGGTATCCTTGCAACTTTAATTTTGTGCTCTGTAGCAGCATTTACATCAACACCTGATGGAAATCATGAACTTAAACATAAGACAAGGCAGCCATGCTGATATATTAATTAAGATAATACCATACTTATAGTCACCTTCTAACCCAACGCCATACTGCATAATAATCTTCATCTGGGTTGCCTTGGCAATGATATCTAAATCGATGCGCCGATTCTTTACAACACATATATGATAGTTTTGGATAACTTCAGGTACATGCTCAAGGCCCACTTCGTCAACCTGCAAATGGAATTGGAGTGGGGGACTTTCACATTGAAATTACAGGCAATCAGCTTTCACATTAAAAAACAACAGTGGAGGAAGAGGTTCCCAAACCTCAATAAATGGATAGTCTCGCAAATACTCGGTGATGTACCTCGTGGGAGCAGGAAAATAGGGGCCACAGAATAGCACCCTTGTAACCTTGCTGTTGCTGTCATTGCTTTTGATTGCACAAGCCACTGTTGAAAAACAACCTGCAGTGGAGGAACAGCAGGAACAAAACAACTGATGACATAATTAAGCAATTGTTTCTACTGGGCTACCAAAAAAAAAATGGTAACACAAATACTCTGCCTTTTGAAAATGCTCATTCTCTCTGGTCTGGCCCATCAATCAATTTGACAAACTAATTTGCAGGTTGACGAAGTGGGCCTTGAGCATGTACCTGAAGTTATCCAAAACCAAACAAAATTTTTCCTAAATATGGACTGGATCGAGGTGGCCAGACCAGAGACTCTGCCTTTTGAAAATGCTCATTCTCTCTCATCAGCATTTCACTGCACACAAATACTTTCATATTTCCTCCTCCACATCCAATTCCATCTTCCCCGAAACCAATAGTTCTTGCAGGAACGGGTCGAACGGAACATCGCCACCGACGCCATCAGCTCGCAAGTCGTAACCACACCTCCACACCGGACCCAGGTCTCACCGGACTAAAGAACAAGGCGAGCCAGGAGGCGCCCGAGGACAGAGGCTAACAAGGGCGGGCAGAATGCCGTACCTCGCGGTCGCGGGAGGAAAGGGGAGTCGCCACCGCGGCGGCCTGCGGCAGCGAAGGCGGCGGCGCGAGGGAGCTGGTGTGCTGGGCCGTGTGTGGCCGGCCTAGCTGCCAATCTTGCTCCCGCCATTGAATAGGATAACAAAAGGCCTCTCAAATCTCAATCACCTCCTTTTTGTTCCCCTATATATAGGAAGATTAACTAAAATTTCTGCTTAGTGCACTACCTTTTTATAAGGGCTAGGGGGTTTCTATTTTTATCTTTATATAAAATCATTAACAGGTTGTTTGGTTTATGCTTCCAAATATATATTTTTTCTTGTTGTGCCTAAAGCGACCAGAACAATTATTATTATTCATATATTCACGTCTCCGACTTTGCATGATTGAGATGTGAAAAATTACCATGGACCCTGATATGATGAATCAATCAATATGGATTACCTTTTATTTATGCAGCTAGGGGCAAAGTTGTCAGCTGAGGTTAAAAATTAGCCTATATATATTAGTTGAAGGTTAAGGCTGACCAGCTAGTTAGCTAACAACTAATTAGATGCTTAGGACAGCAGTGATATAAACTTATCAATGTCAGTTGCAAACCAGTGGTCATAACATTTATTATCATTGTTGATTATCACCACCGAGAGTGAAAAACCGACAGTGATGGAGGGCCTGTTTGATAGAGATTTACTGGCTCTAGATTCAATAAAAATAGCTCCACTCTACCAAAAAGATCCACCAAATCCGGATTCACAAAATGGTGAATCTGGAGGCCAGATCTCCCGACTGATGGAGAATATGTACTAGTGTATGGATCATGTCACGTTACTACCGCCAATGAGTAAAGGTGCAAAATGTTTGTGGCAGACATTTGGCTTGCACGCTTGTGGAGGCCTAAACGAAGAAGCCGAGGCTGCCAAGTGGGGCCGTTGGGTCAACACTAAAAAGTCGAGAAATCTTTGCTTCGTTTTTTTTTCAAAAAGGTGACCGTGCCCAAACGACAAATCTCCTGAGATCAATCAACTACTTCGATTTTTAAAAAGGTGACCGTGTTCCACGTGAATACGACATTAACAAAGAGAGCCGTGATCACGCTGAGATTAATGAATAAGACAGCGAAACAACATCAGATATTCAGGGGCCCACATTATTATTAGCTGAGGAAGCAATGTTGCAGGAAAATGACTTGCTGCTACCACTACCAGCTACAAGCTAGACAGTGGCGGAGTTTTCAACTTTTCATGGAAGTCGCCATCAAACATCTGGGTACACGTTCATTCTTACAACTTTACAAGTCGCCCGACCCATTATTCTCTACTAATGATCGTAACAGCAGTTCCTAGCTGAATTCAATAGCCGCCGAATGGCATCTTCGGCTGCTGCCTGGACTTTTCTTTTCTTTTTTTAGTTGACAAACTCTACTTCCGTGAACGGCTGCCCTGAATGCAGCTGAAGGGCAGTGTCACCAACAGACTGCAACAGGCAGAGCAAAATTTACCACAAGTATCCAAAATAGCAACAACGACTCTTTCTTTTCTCCAGTTCATAGCGTTTTCATCCTAGCCTGAGGAGCTTCACGATATAACCAAAGGGCTCTGTGTGAACATGCCATCTAACTAATAATTGGAGTTTGGTTGCACCATTCATATATACTAACCAACCAACTGTAGTACTTGGCAGTTGCTCAGTACTGAAGAAAAGATTAGCGACGACATATAATTTAAATGGAGCAATCGAGCACAAAGCGCGAACCTTTGCCATAGTTCTGTAGGAGTATTCAGTGACACCAGCCACATGTGGCGTTATGATAACGTTTGGGAATTTCAGAACAGGATCCTCTGGATCAAATGGCTCCATCCAAGCAACATCAATCCCCAAACCAGCTAGATGGCCTGATTCCAGGTGATCAAACACAGCCTTGTAGTCCAGCAAGCGTCCCCTGGCAATGTTGACCAGATATGATCCCTGCTTAAAATTAAGGCAGTTCAAGTTAATCCATTGCAGATGGTGGCAGTATCTGTTTATCCAACGATATTATGCTCCAGACAAGATTTTCTAAATATTCTCGACTAATAGCATGGCTCATGGTTCATTCCTTCTCTATTATTTACTTAGCACTAAAATGAATAGTATGACAGAAACAAGCATGTACCTTTTTCATTGATGAAATGAACTTATGATCCACTATTCCAACCTATAAAATATGATCACATCCTAATCAAGGTCAAGTAGAGGTCATTTTGGAGGAATATTTATAACTAAGTACACCAAGAGAAGTATTAACCGTTTCGTTGGTTAAGGTCATGCATGTTATAACTATGTTAGCTTCACCAGCAAATTCATACATATCTTCCGGGCCACCTTTCTTGTCAACTAGCTCATCCACATCTGCATTGGAATGTTTTAAGCAGGTGGAACAGAACAGAAACTATTTATGAAGGCCATGATGTGGAGGAAATGGAACGGTGGAGCTTACCAGATGGCAATGTGTCTGATGACCAATTTCTTTTCGTAGCAAGAATTTTTACTCCAAAGGGCCTTAGCCTCTTGGCAACTTCAACACCAATGGCCCCAAATCCAAGGATAAGGACCTACACAGCACAGATAAGAACAACTACATGAATGGCGATATTTCCCGCCCGGAATGTAGATCAAAGATGCAATGGTGTATACACCACGACCATACTGTTTTGCCAAATAATGTATCTCCAACTGGAATACCAAGGTCTTTCCGGTTCACAGCAGTATCCATCTCCTTCTGCAAGTTAAATGCCCAATGTTCAACCATGGTAGCCCACATATGAAAGGATCGAAGTTATGTTTATGAAACTTAAACAAGTTAGCTTCAAGATGATGAAAGCTAGGAGGGTAGTGTATATGTTAAAAGAGATGACTACATATCATCTTCGGTATACATGATGAGCCAAAGATTAGTCCAATCGCCAGAAATTTTGGTTACTGAAATTAGTGGATACACTTAAAGCTACTGTGTTCCTATATAGGTGTCATTAAGGTATAAACATTAAAACTTTATTACTTTGAACACCATTGTAAAGTAAAGTTATTATGATTTTCAAACAGAAATGGTACTAGGAGATTTGTCATCGTTTTTCTCATATGATTTTATATTTCATATTTTTGCTAATTCATTACTAGAAAAACCTATGATCAAGTCTTATCTCAAATGGAGAAAAAATGTTGGAAAACATCATCAATCCAGGAAAAAAAGGGGAGTAGTTTTCATAGTCATCAATGTGCAACAGTTTTTGCAGCATCACATACTCTTTTTCCTCTGAAACTGCATTCTAAATCATGACAATGTCTCGTTAATAGATTTCATGTTAACTGCCTAACTTGAAACATGATAAAATGGGGATGGACCATATAATTGCTGCAGATTTTAGACAAAAATTAGAACTAGGAATATTCATTTTCATCCAAACTCGCAGACCTCAAACTCAAAGCTGGTAGCTTAAACCATTATGTTTTTATTAGTCTTCCATAGAATACTACTAGGATTTTAGCTGAAGGACCTAGTTCTGCAGAATAATCATGCTTGCTTGCATCATAGAGAAGATTACTTACAAATTATAATATCTTGAGAAGGTGTAGAAACTGTAATGTTTATTAATGTGGAAACAGTCAAGCTGGAATGTTATTAACTTTCATCAAAGAGAAGCTTAAAAAACTGAAACAAAAGAGAGCACTTCCAACTTCCGCAGGGTCAGCACTACTGGACATACAACACATACTTGTTTACGCAGAATGCCTAGAGTAAGATAGATTGCCATTTCTGCACAAGAGACGGCATTTCCTGTCGTACTTCCAGGTATTCGGGCAACTTTGATTTTGTGTTCTGTAGCAGCATTTACATCGACGCCTGTGGAAAAGTATGCAGTTAATATAATATGGGCTAGTTAAATTGACAGATTGATTGAGTAGAAAAGATAGCATCAGAATTTGAATCACCTTCTAACCCAACACCATACTGCATTATAATCTTCATCTGAGTTGCCTTGGCAATGATATCTGAATCTATACTCCGATTTTTTACTACACATATATGGTAGTTGTGAATAACATCAGGTACCTGCTCGAGACCTACTTCATCAACCTACAAAAATAATTGACAGTCAAATGTGACCCGCGCAAAAAGACATGCTCATATCTCAATAATATGAGGTGAGCACCTACTGTCAAACTATTATATTAGAAATATGAGGATTAAGAATTTGTTTCATGTTATCCTAATGGAGTTAAGAGAAAACAAAAACAAGGGAACCAATGACAAGCCTAAGCCTGGGTTACAGAACTTTGGTAATGCACAGCTTTCACACAAATCCACATCTGTAATAGCTAGTGTATCGATATTGTAATGTTTCATTTGTTGCAAAAGATAATTTTATATTTGCAAAGGAAAATTTGGAAATTTGTATGATGTTCCATTTATAAAGGAAGTTCATTATTAAGAAACGCATAAGCATCAGATACTTGAGTGATATTATGGGATCAGATTGCTCCTCATATTGACATTGAGGAAACAAAGCATGTCCTGCTTCCTATTCTTTTCAGGAAGATGTGACCATCTCATGGTTGTTCTAGAGGGCAAAGTATGTCCTGCTTTCTGTTTTTTTCAAGGACATGTGACCATCTCATGGTTGCTCTAGAGGGCAAACTATTATTACAAGGGCCAAGAAAAACATAAACGAAGCAGAAATTGTAACTAGTAGAGGACATTATGATATATTGTATTGCATAATCCAAATTGTAACCCTCCCACACATCATTAGCTGTATACAAATAGAACTTCAAAATTAAAATTTTGGTAACACTAAGCCTACTAGTACAATATAAATAAAACTAAAAATAAAGGACAGTCAGCTAGTACATTCATATGCATTTTAATCTACAGATACATGAATAAGCAGATCTTTTGCATAGTACTGTAACTAACCTGAATGAATGGATAGTCCTGCAAATACTCCTTGGTGTAGTTAGTAGAAGCAGGCCAATATGGACCACAGAATAGCAACCGTGTAGGAGTGCAGTGGCCATTCCTCTCACCTGAATCACCCATTTTTGAATACTGACCTGTAACAATGAGCTAGTCAAAATGTAAAAATTATTGTGTGGAGTCACAGATACCTTTTTAATCCAACAACAACAACAACAATAACAACAACAACAAAGCCTTTAAGTCCCAAACAAGTTGGGGTAGGCTGAAAATTATCCAAGAGACTGAAAATTATCATAAGATAACAAGATTTAAATATCCATCCATCAATTGGACTTTCCAAATAACTAATTGCATCCAATCAATTTAACAGAAACAGAACAATCCTTCCATAAAGGCAATTGGACTGATGTATATCAGAGCCGAAATTCCATAAAGTAAGATCATATTGGACTACCTTCTGCCAGGTAAACAGTAATTTGATCCAGAGCAGTTGTTCTTTAGCTAACATGGTCATTTTGGCCTCTACCTTATGCTGGTTAAAGGAGATGGAAGGGACAAATCTAGAGCTAGTGCAGGAGGGAAAGAACCATGTTTACTAGCTCCAACATAGCTGTGCTCTGCATCAGTTACTAGGACAACAACACAAACTAATCGGAACCTGCTGGCAGCAATATAAACTCTGTCAACAGGAATGTGAAAGTCAACCTCAGTGTATGCGTATTCATTAGTTATGCATTTCCTCATCAGAGTACCCAATCCGATAGGATTTCATCGGCACCGTACCGCTTCATACTATAAGAAACAAGAAGAAAAAACCACCATTCGCGCACCTACACAGCCCGAACCCAAACAGGCAACTAGCAATCCGGTTCTTGCAACTGAATCCAGAGGGATGTAAAATCAGGGGGCGCCCCTGCAGGACACAAGGATGGGAAGCGCCAGGGTCAGAGAAACAGGGGAAGGAAGGTGCGGGACGGTACCTTCGGAGGAGGAGGAAGGAGAGTAGAGCCGGTGGTGTGCGTGACGGGGCAGGGGCGGGAGCAAGGAGGAGGAGTGGCGGCCGAGTCTGCCAACTAATCTTGCTCCGGCCATATAGGAAAGGGAAAGGGAAAGGGAACGGACGGGAGGAGAGTGACTTCCCCCGGCGTGGGGTTGGTGAATGGTGGCGTAAGGTGCCGGCGGCGGAATCCTTGCGTTTCCCACTTGCCAGCTCCGTAAGTCGTCCAATATATATTCTCTTATGCAATTTATTTTTTTATAGATTTGCTAGTGCCCGGACGTGACGGGCTGTCCGAACGCTCGTACCTGCAGTTGGTTTTCTGTCCCGCTTGGCTTGCCCACGCGGGCCTTGCACCGCGACGAAGGCCACCAGCGTCGAGAAGGGGAACATTCAATCTATTTTTAAATATCCAGACGCAACATATGTAATATATGTCACTTAAAATATATATCTGAAACACATGCAAAAATACCTGAAAAACACTTAAAAATCACTGTAAAATATACGCAACATCCAGATAAAACATATGCAATATATTGGTGAAACATATGCAACATCCAAATAAACACACTTGCAACATATATCTGAAGGTAGAAAATACTTGAAACATACATCTGAAACACCTGCAAAAACACCTGAAAAACATTTGAAAACATACGCAATATCCAGATAAAACACATGCAATATATGTGTGAAACGTATACAACATCCAAATAAATACACTTGCTACATAGTTTAAAAAAATAGTTGAAACATTAGAAATAGAAGCTTACAACATACGTGCACAACCATTACAACATATGCAATATCCCGATCTACTTTTGCAACATCCACATGAAACACTTACAATATACCTATGAAACATCTGAAACACTTGAAAGATAGGCTTGCAACATCTGTTTCTCACCCTTCTACCGGGTGGTTTCGGCCAGCCAGCAGCCGAGGTTGCATGATGGCACGGCCTGGCAGCGGCCAGTCGCGCCTGCTCCTGACCTAGGCCTTGCCAGCGACGGCCCCCTCTCCTGGCCGCCTGGCCTAGGCGTGGCGAAGGATAAAGCACGGCATGGCACGGCAGGAGATGGGGGCACCGCTGCAGTTGCTGAGCACGCACATGGAGCTTGGAGGTGAAGGGCGAGGTGCCGGCTGCCGGGTCCGGCGGCAGCTACAGTCGGTGGGCGGCTATTAGCGTACCTTTCGTGGAGGATTCCTCCTCTTCGCGGGGGGACGGAGGTGCCACAGGGATGGGGGGCACCGCGAGGGATGGCGGCGGCGCGAGGGATTGGGATGGTCGGATGGCCGCATGGCGTCCTGAAGCCACGACGGATGAGCATGGAGAGGGGGAGACGAGCTTTCGTAGGGAGATTTGATTTGTTTTTTCTTGGGTCCGTGTGGCCAAGTATTCCCGAATGTTTTTTAATCAAAGATATTTACGCTACTTTTAGAAAAACGAAACTGGGGTTACCAGTTTTACAATGTAACAAACAAAAATAGGAGAGAAAACTAACAGACATCGACTTCCTCTCAAACCACCAACTCAACTAATCATTATTAACAGTTTAAAACGGCAACGACGACACTACAACTTCGACTACCCAAAAGAGTTTAAACCATCTGGCATCTACACGAACTATTTCTTAATGAGCGCATGATGAGATCAAGTTTATCATCTCATCCGCTGTGGGCCTCAACTTTGCTTTCAGTAGAGTGCGTCATGTCTTGATTAGCGTCAAAGGCTTGTAGATGATTACCATTGGGGACGACAGCACCTTCTTGTTAAACGCCACGTCGTTCCTAGTCTTCCATATTGTCCATAACGCGCCTACCCAGCATTACCTTTCATTTGTTTCCTCGACAAGCATCAACAAACTCTACCAGAAAATCAGCTCAATCAGTTAGCGAGCTTTGCCAGCCAAGTGTGTTCCTCAAAAAGGACCAAATAAAGACAGTGATGGGGCATTGGAAAATAATATGGTCGGTGGTTTCCAGTTTATCACAAGTGGCACATTCCTCTGGACCAAACCATTGCTTTTTCTTTAATTGAAAAACCGTTCGAACTCTGTTATGGGCAGCTATCCAAATGAAAATTTTGATCCTTAGTGGAATGTTGCATTTCCACATAGTCATCATCTGACTATCTCTAACACCACCTGAGGTCATCAATTTGTATAAGGAGCTAGTTGAATATTTCTTGGACTGTTCAAGAGCCCAGAACACCATATCCCTCTCTTCTAAAAGAAAAACATCATCCAATAGCTCTTGGAGTTGATCCTATTCTTCACTGAGAGCCTCATTGAGTTGTCTTCTAAACTGAATATCCCATTGTCCATTTGCATATGCTTGTGCTACGTCTATGTCAGGTTGGTCTATTATGTAATTACTAATTGAGGAAAAATTTGATCAAATCTCCGTCACTACGGGAGAACGCAGATTTGCCGAGTGCCAAAAATCGGGCACTCGGCGAAGCCACTCTTTGCCGAGTGCCGGACCGGGTGGCACTCGGCAAAGTTTAGCACTCGGCAAAGAGTGGCTTTGCCGAGTGCCACAGGTTGCCCGGCACTCGGCAAAAGTCCTCTTTGCCGAGTGCAACACTCGGCAAAGAGTGGCACTCGGCAAAAAAAATGGCACTTGACGGCCGAGCCCTCCCACGCCGTCAAATTTTTTTTAAAAAAAAATCTTTGCCGAGTGCTGGCCCTGGCACTCGGCAAATAGGGCCTTTACCGAGTGCCAAGGCCCTGCACTCGATAAAGATCCCTTCTTTGCCGAGTGCCACTTCCTGGCACTCGGCAAAGGACCTCTTTGCCGAGTGCCAGGGCCGGCACTCAGCAAAATAAAATTTTTTTGGTTTTTTTTACCCATTTTTTTGTGAGGTCTTCCCACATTATTTAAAATTCCATGTTCAAATTTGGGACAATTTTGACTTTTTTTGCTATATTTTGTTAGTTTTTTTTTGTTTCATTGAATTTTATGGAATATTTCAAATTTGAACTGCACATGCATGGAATAATCGAATTTGGTCATTCAAAAAATGATATTCATGATATTTGGTGTATGTTGAGGCTGTATCCAGGAACTCACATGAAATTTTGAGCATCTTGTTGACGTAACATGACGAGGTACCTGCGGGAAAAGTGTATTTAAATTATATAAAATCCGAACGAAGTCCGAAAATGACGAAACTGTCGGGGCGTCGTGTTATCGCATGTAGAGTCTATGGTAAAAAATTGAGAAGGTTTCGAGGAAGTTGCGACGTCGGATGCCTAAAACCCAGACATCTCCAGAAATCTGCATCCAACAACCTTGTTGCTTGTCGGTGCAGGGAATTTTTTGATCAATACTGGCATCTTTCAAGGCCACCTTCTGACCATGAACGAGAGACCCTTCTTCAACATGGTTCGCCTGATTTCATTACATGGTTCCAAAGAAAGGTACCTTCTGACCAACTTAGGTCGTTTCAATTTTGGCGTTCCTAGTTGCCTAATTTCATTTCTCTCCTGCTTGAGCTTGCAGTGCCAAAGTGATTTGTCTATAAGTGTCGAATTACAACAAGTGGCCAGAGGCTTTGATTATAAGGTCTCATCATTTAACGCTTATGACATGAATGGATATCGCTTTCACACAACAAGCTATGAGAAGAGTCGGCCCAATCCAAGGACCACCAATACCGGAGTATTTACGCTCGGAGTAGTTACGCCCGGCGAGGAGCAGGAGGACTATTATGGCATAGTTGAAGAAATATACGAGCTCAAATTCCATGGTGAAAAAGCACCTAAGCCAGTCATATTCAAATGCCAATGGTTTGATCCCGCAGTATCAAAAAAGTCCCTTAAATTTGGGATAGTCAAAACTAGACAGGATTCCTTCTATCCAGGAGATGATGTCTATATTGTGGCTCAACAAGCCAGGCAAGTTTATTATTGTCCATATGCTTGCAAAACTGACCCACGTCTTCAGGGTTGGTATATTGTGCACAAGGTATCACCACATGGTAAATGTCCTCCCCAAACGATGATGATTACAACTTGAACCCACCCACGCATGACGGGGAGTTCTATCAACAAGACGAGGGGCTACCAGGGATGCTTGAGATAGACTTAACCGGAGAAATTGAAATGGAAGTAGACGAGGAATGGGTTGTTGACGAGAAAGCTGCAGATGAGGTGCATGATCCGAGAGACTTGAAAATGCTTGACGGACTTGTACTTGACAATGATAGCGATGAGCATGAGGCTGTTAACGATTTGGAGGCTCTTGATAGTGATGACGATACCTATCGTCCAGATAATCTTGATCATGAAGAATATTAGAAATACATGTAATACTATGTTATTTTGTAATTACATTTTCTTTATTTTGCATCCCTTGCTAAGTACTTCTCGTTTATCTATACTAATACTGGTTTATTCTTTTTAATTGCAGGTGATGGGGCCCACTAGGAGGTGTCAGTCGACTTACTCGAGACCGAGGGACACGCCACCGGCTGAGGACACGGAGGCGGAGATGTCAGAGAGGCAAAGGAGGTCGAGGGGCAGGCCTAGGCGGGAGCCGTCGACTGACCATGACCTTGGCTCCTCGCGCACTTCTAGGGATGACGACGTCCATCTGCCCACGGTGGGCAAGGATGTGGGTCCGCAGATGTACGACGATGCTGTTCCGCACGCGTCTGAGGAGGGGGTTCCGCACACGTCCGAGGAGGGGGGAGGGGGTTCGACTTCCTCTTCAGCCTCGAAACCCTACTTGCGAGGTCCCAGCCAGCTCCCGAAGCGACCGAATGCACCCGAACGCTGCCCACTGATTGCACCCGAGGGGGATAAGTAACTTCATATGTTCTTCATTTGATATGTTGAAAAATCATAATAAGAGCTAATGTCAATGGGATCACTTGTGCAGGAACTGGATGCTTATGGAGGAGGGGGTCCCGGCTCACAATGTTAATGGGATCCTAGGACTTCTATGCAGGGAACACTTCCCTAGCCTGGTGTGGACGTCAGAGGATGAGGACCCAGAGGTACCCTCGTTCGACCACTATGCCCTCGTCGCCACCGATGCTCCGCACAGAAACTTGGCGGATCAGGTGATTTCGGAGTTGTGGGTA